CCAGGATTTTTTCGGTTTTTTTTTTTTTTTTTTAAATTGTCGCGGCTTTAATTCATGAAGCAATTGTCCCCTTTTGCAATCAGAATTTGGATACCAGAATGAGCAAAGAAAGACCCAAGAGGAATATAATTCAAAAGAAATACGTAAGTGGTCGTAACATATATCATTTGACTCCCGGTTTTAGGAAATGGCAGTGAATGTCAAGTTTATAGCTAATCCTGCAGCTGTAAGGCTTTCGAAACAAATGTAATACTGAATTTTATTTTTCTGTGGTGCGGTGGGGGAGTTTCAGGGGCCCCTTTTAACGGGGAAGCCACCTATCCAGTTCGGTTATAAAACCAGATTTGTGTAGCGATTCCTCCAGTGAATAAATGTATTGACCTCAAATGACACAATCATAATCTAGTTTTAGATGAAAGGCGGGGAGCTCGGGGGGCTGCCGCGATAGTGTCACGAAACTGCATTTTCGAGCGGTTTTGTTAATACGGCGCTTTTGCATGCGAAAGGAGGCGATTTTTGTCACGATCTGCGTGTGTGTATCCCCGTCTGGTGAAGCGGCGGCGGCGGTTGTCGAAAGCCCTTTAAGTTGAAGCCGAGCGTCTGGTTATGGCGAGCTCGCTTCTCGCACTACCACATCCCATCGCCTGCATGTGGTCGTTCGCTCCTCCGCCTTGCGATAGAAACCGAGCCGGCCGGGGATCGCCCGGCGGGGAACGCGGTCCTCGGGGTTGACTTTAATAACGGGGGGAAATGGCTCGGCGCAGTTTTAAAACGATTCATTACGGTGGCTCGAGAATTTGGGCTGATCCAGCGCAGCCCGGGCTGTATTTCTGCCTCTCTTTATTCAACCGCTTAACCAATCCCTTGTAATTGTCTAATCCTTTAAACATATAAATGTGGATGGATAGTTGGATTTTTGTTCGCGCTCCAGTTACGTTTTGATTGGCGTAGGGGAGTTTTTCTTTACGTTTGGAAAAACTGAGGGGATTAGCCAAATATGCAGTAAAGCGAATAATGATTTCTGTCTCCAACATATAAATGTGGATGGATAGTTGGATTTTTGTTCGCGCTCCAGTTACGTTTTGATTGGCGTAGGGGAGTTTTTCTTTACGTTTGGAAAAACTGAGGGGATTAGCCAAATATGCAGTAAAGCGAATAATGATTTCTGTCTCCACGTTTAAAAATATTCTTCTTCATTGGGGGGGGGGTGTATGAATCT